AATTTACTTATAATTAATTTGGGTATTCCATAAGGCTACCCCAAATACCTGAATTTGGATTCAAAGAAAAATGGTCTGGACAAATAAATGATCTCGTAAGCAGCCAAGGACATCAGGATACTTGTATGATTCATCCCTCTATATTTTCCCCTATGTCTGCTCTTGACTTTACAGAACTATCCTCAATTTTATTTTCTGTCTATCTCATCCATGTGACACTCACCCCAGCCTCTGTGTTCAGCTGTGCAGCACAAGCACATAGTTCCTGTGTCTAAGATGTGGTCCCATTTATCTCCACCTCTGAAGACTGTTTTGATCCAGAGAGACCATGGAATGGCTCAGAGCACCAATGGTCCCAGCTATAATAGTACAGGGGAATCTGCAAATAAGATCTCTAGGGAGTTCTCCGTGTTATACTGGGTTTGTCTCTCTAGCAGGATATTTTTAAAGCCCTAGTAGGTTAATATCTACCCATCCACTGGACAAAAAAAAAAAAGTCAAATTGTGCCGGACTGTTTAGTAGGGAAATTCAGGGAGAAAGTATGTGAACATGGTATGAGGATAGACAGGGAAAAATTATATCTCATGTTAGAATTTGCATGGATTCCTTTGGTTTCCAAGCCCTTCGTCACATATCACATATAATCTTGTGTTTGTTTTGAATTTCCCTGTCTGATCTATAGCTTGAGTATTTTACTTTAACATTTTATATCTTCATTAGGGTAATTCTTTTTCTTTTTCCATCTAAACATACCAGGTGATAAACTACTTACTGAGCTAGTTATGGCCCAACTACTTCGGTTTTCTTTTCATGCATGAATATGCTGGTGTGTGTTTGTGTGTGTGTGTGTGTGTGCGCTCGTGCCCATGTAGATAACTACAGCCAATGAGTTTAGTAGTGACAAATGTCTTTGCAGTCTAAGCCATTCAAGAACAAGTGTGAACTGTTTTCTCTTCAGGCCCTATAGTGACAAGGGGAGCCATGTGTAAGGGCTGAACTGTAAGTTAAAAACCTCTGGGACTTTAAGTTACTGCATGGAGAAGTTATTCTAGAGGGTTCTCAACTGCTATAAGACACCAAGTACATAAAAATAATACCACTTGATTTGTCTTTCTGAGTTCTCTTTATTACTTTGACTTATTTCTGATTTTTTTCCTAGCATTTCAAGTTTCATAACTACAGCTGTTTTGAACTCTCCATCTGATATGAAGCATTTGTCTTCCATTTTTTGGAGTTTGGATTCTGGACAATTGTCTTGTGATTTTATATTCACTTGAGGTCTCATGCTTCCATTGTAACAGGGTGGTCCCCAGGAAAAGGCAAAGTTCCAGGTTCCCTGCCCCACCCAAAAGGAGGGTGGAGCTGAGCAGAGAAAAGAGAAGAGGAGGAATCTGAAGAAGAAGGAAGCAGGATGGAGAGCCAGGAGACATGGAGCAAAGGGAGACGTGAAAAAACCATGTTTAGTTCTTGGCCCTGGACTGGCTGAAAGAGATGTGGGTGAGACATCCGTGGGTAGATTGACTATGGCAGTGTTTATATTGATTTTGATTTTGCTCTTTTCCTCCCAGACTTGTCTGCCATTTCTGCCCCTTTCTATGGGTCCCGGCCAGAAGGTGCTGTAGGTTTGTGGCAGCTTTCAGGCCTTGCTTTGGACCAATCCCTTTTGGGTTGACTTTTGCCCATGAGGGGATGGGTAACTTCAGGTGTTTGATTTATAATTTATATTCTTTGTTGTATACTTCTGTGTTGTATACTCACTGTATTAAAGTCCCTTTTCATTAAAGTCTTATATGTCTTGTCTTGATGCAGCAGATGGTAGAATCTATTTCGAGCAGGCAGGTTTGGGCGTTCAGTGGTGCCCCTCTCCCTGCCCTGCAACACTATGTGTTATATTTCTTTGACCTTTTTGCTACCTGAGGTCTCCTTATTTTATCATTATTTTTAGTATCTTTAGCAGTTAGCTATTTTACTTTCTCCACATGTGGTGCTGTGGATCTTTTAAATTTTATTTTGGCTTTTGCTGTTTTCAGTATGTACTGAGATCTGTTTTTCAGTTAGTCAGCAGGTTGTTCTAAAGGCTTGGAAGGGTCCAAACATTAGAATGAATGATTTGGGTTGGGCTATCTCTTGTTTGAAACTTTTTGTAGGCTTCTAGAGGCAGCATTTCAGCTTTGAGTGAAGCATTCAGGATACTACCTGGAATCAAAAGGCCTATTCTGTGGACACTTACATATGCCATCTCTGATCTTTGGGTTATAAAATCATCTGTGAATTAAGTTTACTTAAGTGGTCATGACCAAAGAGGGGGATTGGATGCCCTTCCATATAGCGAAAGCTATGGTAGATGTCTGTATCATTAAACTGGTGTTCCAGAGGTTGTAAGAAGCCTTTCTCTTGGGACCTTTCCGTAACTCCAGTGCCTGGGACTTTCTTCTTGCTGATCCAAGCTGATTTAGGATAAAGATAATTTGCTCCAGTCTACTCAAAAATCAATCAAGTAGTCGCTGTTGAGAGTGACCCAGAACTACAAGGAGGTCATTACAATAGACTCTTCCAGTCCAAGTGAAGCCCCTCATCCTCCCTATTCTTCCTCTCAAAACTCACTCTGAACTACCATTTTTACTTTTTTCTCTCCGTGCTTCTTCAGTACTTCTGTGACCTTGTCTGAATTCTCATTCTGTGCTGTTATGTGCTTTCTTTTCTCTCTTTCAATTTTCATTCTTCCCTTTCTAATTTCCAACTTGGGACACCTTTCCTTCCAATATCCCTCTTCTTGCAGTAATCACACTCATTCTTCCCTAAGGGTTCACTTCTCCACTCCCTCTCCATGTCCCTTCAGTGTTCCTCCAAAATTCTTTCCTACATTCTCTCTATGAGGCTTAAGTCTCCTTATTTCTCTTGTATTACAAACTATGGAGACTATGCCCACCAATTGGGAAGGACTCATTTTACAGCACCTTCTACCTTGGTTAACTGTCAGCTTATTCTGCCCAGTGAATGCCATGTTAATCATCTGAGTGTTTTCTGGGGTGTCTGGACTCGCATCTGTGTAAATATTGTAAGTTTGGTAATTCTTTCTTCAAGAAACTCAGATGTATCCTCCTTTGCCTTTTGCTGAAGATCTATTGATTTACCTAAAGTCTTGCTTAAGGGGTAAAAGTAAAACAAAAGAAGGAAAAAACATCCTTCCTTACTCCTCCTACTAAACATATGTTATAGTGTTCTAGGCTTTCCATTTCCCCTCCATGGGGTCCCAGTTGGGTTCTACCATTGTTATAGCGTTTTCTGGTTCTGGGGTTTCCAGACATTCTTGGTGGAGATGACCATGTTCCTTACTGGCCTCCCCTACATTCATTCTATCCTCATCCACACATGAATAACACATGTCACATGGATTATACCTCCACCTAGGCAGACATATGGGAGGATAAAATAGAAGCAGACAAACCTGCCATTTTTTGAGGATCCAGACAATGTGGGGAAATTTGTCTTAGCCATTTGTTTCCTGTCTTTGGAGGTCCACATCTGACAACAGCATTGAGAATTAATCATCTGCTCCATTTAGTCACTACTCTATGAGAAACTTCCCTAAGAAATAGTGGTTTAAACCAACTTATTATTACCTTTAATGTTTGTCTACATAATGATTGTCAGTTGGGGTCTCTTTCTCTTTCTCTCCCTCCTCTATGTCTCTTTCCTGCAATCATACTTTAGAATGGAACTGTAGTCATCTCTAACCTTCATTGGAATTGATGCAACTGATTCTGTTAACTAGGTGCTCAGCCAGGGTGTCAATCATGTGAACTCTCTGTGTGGTTTGGGAGTCTCACAGTACAGTGATTGTGTTCTAGAGAGAGTGTCCCACAATACAAATACCCAAAGACGATGAAAAATATGCAAGTTATTATTTTTTTAAAGATTTATTTAATTATGAATACAAAACTAGGGTACAGGCCAGAGGGGTGGTAGAGTGATCAGGTTCACCAGAGACAGAGTGGAGAGCAGAACAGGCAGATCTACTGAAATACACTGCTGGGAAATAGCAGGAGAGACAAGAGAGGTCTGCTGCATCATGTAGTTAGTTCTCTGGCTGGAGACTGAACTCATGCTGTGGTGCCTGTAAAGGCCGTGTAATGCTGTGCTTTAACCCTTTGTACCATCAGGGAGGCCCTAGATGAAGGTTTCTTTAATATAGCCTTAACTGTTATATAAGAATGGCAAATTCAGAAAGACATACAAGATGAAATACATTATTATGCATATCAGAAAATACAATTTAACATCATAAAATATGATTTACCACATCAAATTATTTAAGTGCCATTTCTGTGGACATTTAGTAAATAACACAACAATAATCTGAGTAAGAAGTCAGAAGTTTTCTGACTGCAATAACTGGTGATGCAATTTTATGATGTGGTTGAAATATGTAGAGTTTAAGATGGATAAATAATATTATGCAATTAGAAGGTAGGAGTTAAGCTGACTTCCAGGCCCAGGAAATTACTATAAGAACAAAAACTTGGTTTATTTCAAAGAACCAAACTCTTCTGATTTCAAGCATCCAAAATTTCTTAAGTATTAGAATCATCTATGGAATTATTAAAGATCACAGATGTGCACTGAAATAACAAAAATGGAAAATTGCATTTTTACCAGTTTCCCCAAGTGATTCTGATACTGACCAAATGTTTGAAAGTCACATATTTACATGATTAATTTTCATGAGTTACTCTTAAAGAGGGTAATAATTTGCTACTAGCTTTACCAGCTCTCATCTGGAAACTGTCCTAAAAGATATTATAGCTCCTTAAACTTTTTTCTTTCATCGCTTAACATCTCCGTATTTTTCCTCATTGACTTATACAACTCAGGGTAGCTTTCTGAAATCTCATATATACTTAAATGATCATTGTAGATATTGTAGCTTTAAAAAATGAAATATACTCCCCAAATCAACATGGTTACCTATTTCCCTTCCTATCATCTCATTTCCACATCACTGGATCCTTTTGAAGAAGAGTAGGATGATTTTATCCCGAATCTGCTTGGTCCTCACTCCATAGATAATTGGATTGAGTGCAGGAGGAATGACTACATAGAGGTTGGCAACCAGTATATGGAAGGAGAGAGGGATGTTGTGACCAAAACGGTGGGAGAGGACAGAGAAGAAGCATGGTATATAGAATATCAAGATAACACAAACATGGGAACCGCATGTGTTGAGAGCTTTCTGGCGGGCATCCTGGGATGGAAGTCTAAAGACAGCACAGAGTATCAGAGTGTAGGAGACTCCGATGAGGATCACGTCCGAAATAATGACCATTAATGGCACTCCAAAGCCATACCAGATGTTGATGGAGATGTCTGTACATGATAGCCGGGCGATACCTATGTGTTCACAGTACGCGTGGGGAATAATGTGAGTCCTACAGAAAGGCAGTCGCTTTACTAAAAATACAACTGGAAACATGATACAAAAGCTCCTGATGACAATACCTATTATAATCTTAGTAATTCTCTGATGGGTAAGAACTGTGGTATATCTTAGAGGGAGGCAGATAGCAACGTAACGATCAAATGCCATTGCCAGCAGTGTGGCAGAATCCACAGCAAAGCTGAAGTGGAGAAAAAACATCTGAGTAAGGCATCCTGGAAATGTGATTTCCTGAGGTCCTATCCAGAAGATCCTGAGGGTTTTGGGTACACATGTATTAGATAGGATGAGATCTGTAGCAGCCAGCATGGAGAGGAAAAAGAACATGGGTTCATGCAGGCTGTGCTCTGTGAAAATTAGGTAGAGAAGGATACAATTGCCTGCCATGGCTACCACATAGATAATGAAGAAGGGAATGCTGATCCAGATATGGAACTGTTCCAGATCTGGGATTCCCAGAAGGATGAATGTGCCTGGATTGAAGCTACTGAAGTTGAATGTAGCCATCACGGTTTCAGACTGGATGAGTCTCGTAGACTGAAAAAACGAAATCATGGGAGATTGTTAACAATGATCTGCAGATTTTCTGCTTAGAGTCTACTGCAGTACCTCCCCTCTCTGCAGCTTTTGAAAGTAATGAGCTACTTCTATCCTCACATTTGTCAGACATGTCTAATGAATAGAAGGTAGACCCCACCCTTGACTCTCAAAGAGGACAATCGAAGCAAGAGGAGTCCTTTCTCCTAGCAATATTATGAAGGACATTCTCACCTCTGTCTACCTACATAAGGAGTCATTCTTGTGAAACTTCCTTAAAACAGTTGATTTTTTCTTCCAAATCTCTTCAATTCTTTGACTTCTTACACACATCTTTTTCTCCAACTTCAGTAGTCACTCATTTTTTTTTCTACCTGTTCTTCAGTGTGAAATTCTATAGTGTTCTATCCATGCCTACCTTTCTCACGTTATCAAACCACATGTAGGAGAGATAACCAAATGTTAGATATTAACTGACTGCTAAGATTCTGAAAAATATAATTTTGAAGACATGCCTCTTTTCTCAATTGTAGAGCTTTTATAGGATGCCTGCCATCTTTAGCTGCATCCAATTGCTTGAGGCACATCCAATTCATCATGTTTCAAATGACCCTATTTCTCTTCCATCACCCCTAGTGTTTCTTCTACAATGGTTTTCAATTCAACAAATGATAGTATAACCCAATACGTTTCTCATCTCAAAACCTTTGAATTAATCTAATCCTATCTCCCTCACAAAAATCATATTACTCATCTTCCAAACAATTATTATATTACAAATGCTATCTGCATATTGTCTTAATATCACATCCACTCGTTGTTACCTATGTATTTCCACACATGGACTGGCCTACATCCCCTATCTCTTGTTACGGCCTCTGCATAAATATCTGAATCAAATTACTTTTGATAAATGCTATTGTTTTCTCACAAAATTTTATTCCTTAAACAGTATAAAGGATCATAAAAGTTAATCAATTTTGAGCTCTCCAACTCTCTGTGGGCAAATTTATTTTTGAGCAAAGCAACATACTGTGTATTTATTTATGTTTACTTTATAATAATAAAGTATTTATTATATAATTTATGAATTTTACAAGTCGAAGCTAATTATACCATTTTATTTTAATTTATTTTAGCTAATTGAGGTCATGATTCTTCCTTTATTTTACTTAAAACATTTTCCTTACCAATTTCTTGGTTTTTAAATATTCTGAAATTAATTGAACAATTAGATATAATTTTTAGGTGAACTTTCCTTTAAATTGGAAATTGTTGTTTATTTTTACAAAATAAGATAAACAATTCTCTTTAAGTAAAATAAAATTCAGGCTTCACTGGTAGTATAGGGGTTAAAGTCTCAGTGCTATCAAGCTACCACAGGCCATTGTGGTTCAGTTTGATCCCCGTTCAGGGAGGTGACACACAAGGTGCAGCAGACCTTTCCTGTCTCCCCCACTGCTCTGTTCAGCAGTATATTTCAGTAGATCCACCTGTTTTGCTCCCCAGTGTCTCTGGTGAATCCTCTCATCCCCATGCCTGCACCGCTGGCCTATACCCCAATTTTTGTATGCATAAATAAATAAAAATAAATCTTAAAAAAAGTAAAATAAAATTCTTCATCAATCAAAAAGATATATGTAAATCAAACTACAGTAAAACCAAGATGAAAAATACACAAAATGATGTAAAAATAAACTATTATATTATTAAAAAGCAAACAAACAAAATCTTCAACTCAACTCTTTCCGATTGCAATTAGAATAAAATAAAAACTCCTTTCCATGGTCTAGCTGAAAAAAGCAAAGCAAAACAAAACAAACCTAAGATGTATTTAAAAGCACATCTACATAGAATCCATGAGAAATGTTTTAAGAAATACAATTAAGTTAACAAATAAAGAACAAATATTAGGTAGGTCATAAGACAAACAGTGCACCAAGGATCTCATCAAATGGAAAAACTTAAAAAAGCAATATTCAATATGATAAAAATTTTAATTTTTAACATAACAAGTCAAATAAAAATTGGGGGTGAGGACAGTGGATGATATTGGTGGCTGTGGGTGTGAGATCTGTGTTAGCTGGTGACTGTCAACTGAATGGGGGCTCCAGGACAAGAATAGCTGGACCTCAAATAGGAAGGGAAGTTAAATTATTGACTTAGGTGTGCTTTGAGACAAAAGAAGTTTTTTCTCTACTACTAGGGGCTCTGTTATGCAAAACACCAACTTCATCCCCCTCCCAGGGTCAAAGCCTTAAATGTGAATTATACTCTGCTCAGGCTGCCACTAACCAGAATGTAAGAGCACTGGGGGTTATAGAGGCAAGCACTTCAGGACAAGGTGCTCACATTAGATGTCACATTTTTTATATGGAGATGAAAAAGAAGTGTATCTAGAAGTATAAATATAAAAGAAGCTTTAGATTCTTAAAAAACAAAGTAATATTTATACACAAGCAAATGTAAATTCATGATTCATGATGCGAATAATGTAAAACCGAAATACACCAATGTAGAGGAAACAAATAAAATCTATTGTCAGAGATTGACCTCCCTTCAATTGGTACCTTGATTAGACAATTTAATCAAATATATGTCATTTTAAAGAGCAAATAATTCATGTAGGATACAATTGAATTCTGAGCATATAAGACTGGAAATCCTTTGATGTATTTGTGTTCTTTCAAGTGTTTTATAAAATTGTATATATTCAATTCATTCAAATAATGATTTTGAAATACTAATGTTTCCTCAGGTGAGTGGGAAACAAACAGTAGAGTATGATATTTAGTGGATGAGGTAGATAACAGAAACTCGAAATGATGTAACAGGAAGATTAATAAAGGACCTCAGCAATATAAGGAGGCAGCATTGCTTGGAAATGTCAACTGAGAAGAGTGATAGAAAGAGGAGTAGTAAAAGATGCTGGGTCCCTCCCTGGTGGTGTAGCCGATTAAAGCGCAGCACTAAGAAGCTTAAGCCACTTCCACATGAGTTCGATTCCCACCTGCCTTGGAGGAGATCCACATGGCGAGGCAGACCTCTCCTGACCCGCCCACTGCTCCCCTCAGCAGTGTACTTCGTAGATCTGCCTGCTCTGCTCCCTGCTCTGTCTCTGGTGAATCCTCTCACCCTCTGCATCTCTGGCCTGTACCCCAGTTCTGTATGAATAAATAAAATCTTTAAAAAAAAAAAAGATGCTGAAGTGTCAGCACACTCATGAACATTGCATTAAATTTGTCTTGTTTTATTTCATTTTCTTGACTTTCACTTTGTCTCCTGATTTTAAAGAATAACTTTAAAGATTATTCAAGATATGCCCATTTACTTACTGTCTGCCAAGGTATGCTCGAAAGACGCATTACCTGGTGGTATTCACAGTCTTCACATCACATATTTCTAACTGTAATGTTCTAACTGAAAGGTTGATTCCCTAGCCAAGCCCTGTGGCATTCTTGACACTATTGCTGATGTGTAGTTCATGGATGCTGTTTAGAAGACTGGCAATATTTTGATTTCTTTACTCTAACACATACCATATTAGCTGATGACACTGACTTAGGTCAGTATGGAAGAAGCCATATAGAGCAGAGTCAAATAAACAAGGCAAGTGTCCTCTCTGGTGGCATAATGAGTTAAAGTGCAGCACTATGAAGCTCTCTGCTCTCACTGCAGCTGGATTCCTAGCCAGGGAGGTTACCCACATGGCATGGCAGATCTCTCCTGACCCACTTGCTGCTCCCCTCAACCGTGTATTTCAGTACATCTGCCTGTTCTGCTCCACACTCTGTCTCTGGTGAATCCTCGCAAACTTACCCCACCTCTGGCCTGTACCCAGTTCTTGTATGCATAAATGAATAAATTAAAAAAAAAAAAAGAAGCAAGTTGAGTCCAGCAAGTGTGTCACCCCTAATTTGATTCTGTTTCTGAAGCAATATTCTTGTTTAAATTCTTTTTAGCTTCTTTGATCTTGGGTCTTTCTTCAGTGTAGTTCATTTTCTCTCTTGTCTAGCTAATTTCTCCTTATCTATGGAAGTTACCCAGTAACATTTCATAAACAATATCCATTAAGTACTCCTGACTCTACACATTTTACAATCAGAACCCTTACCACACATTGTTTTCATTATTTTATTTCATTTTTTTTAACCTAAGAAATGATAACTTTCGAGAGAATAAATATATCTACTTATTTCATGAGTCTGTCTTCAAAATAGAGCAGGGTGCAGAGAGCTCAAGCAGTACTCAGAGAGTAAATGAGTGCACAGGGCCAACTGCACTTCTCACTAACAAATATCCAAATGGTATAGTGGATGCAATTTGCTCATGCTGCCTACCTACAATTCACTTAATGTCTCCCTCAGTACTGCATCCTCACAGACTAACATAAAGTACAAGGTGGGCTCCTATACTTCAACTCCAGAAATAAAAGATCTGGAAAAGCATGAAAATCTACTTCCTTTATTTAAATCCTTATGCCTTAAGGTCCCACCAAGTAAAGCTTGCATCAAGAATGCACACTACTGAAAGTGGCATGGAAGGAAGGACACAACTGCATGGAGAAACTCTAGATACAATTAAAATCTTGGTGGCTTTGCAAGCCTAGTCTTTGCTGAGACCTTCTAGCTATGACTCTGCACTCTCTTTACTCTTCTACTGTGGTTTCCTTGGATCACCATTCTCTGATCACAGAATTCCAAATATGATTTTGTCTTCTGCAAGTATTTCCCTGCTATATTGTTCACTGGTTCTCTCATTGATTCCTGGGCATTTTTACCTTCCTAAGGCTAGAAATACTGCAATACATGTCCTCCTATGTCTCTTTATGCTCAGTCTCCCCCAACACTAAACAAAGAAGGTACTTCAGTGGTATTTTGATCATGAGTTATTGTAATCCATGTCTTGTCCTTATATCTTCTTTTAACGTTGAGTGTGTCTACATGAAGATTTCCCTTCTGCCCCTTTTTAAGATATGGGATATTCACAGAAAGACTGTATGACCAATTTTAGGAAACAAATGTTCAATCCATTTATATACCAGTTCTCCATGGTTATGTACAACGGGTGTATTCTTAGTGCTTGCCTTCATCATCACAAAAGTTCAATAGGACACTCATTCGTAAATGCATTCACAAATACAAAAAAAGATGACTTAAAATGATCTGAGCTAGCATAGCAAATGTCAACCTCAGAAGCCTGCTACTGGTCTAGTATGGTTATTACTAAATTTATAATGATCATTTGTTCTCTTAATTTTTTTCTTGCATTAGCAATTTTGACCTTAATAAAATCCTCTCCATTGTGGAGAGCAATAAGAAGGGCTCAGAATGAAGCTTCTAATAGATACTACTTTTTTACACCATATAATGAGTGTCAGTTTGGGAAGTTATACTCAGTGTTTTCCTGTTTCCTGGTGCTCTCTTTCTGCACCTCCTTCTCTCCTTTCCACTAATTCCACTTCTCAGTACTACTCATTTCCGGGTTTATCCACAATAGTTTTATGTTGCTCACCACTTGCTTATACCTTGGAAGCCTTGGTCCTGGGACTGTTTTGCAAAGCAGCGCAAGGACCCAAGATTGCAGAAACTCAGCAGACAAAAAAAAACAACCAAAAAAATGAAAAATTTTTCACAGCACAAGGAAGGACAGAGGTGGGGAAATAATAAGACAGACAGAATCATGTTCATGGTGTGAAAAACAGAGCCTAGAGGGGTAGAGTCAAATAAATGTACTTCCCTCATTTTCTCCAGGGATAGAGACAAGTTAAGACAGAGGCCCTCTGTGCCAAGGGGGCTCATGGCTCCCAGGTCCCAAGGCCCCAAGTCAGTCTAGGATAAGATCAAACATTCAACCCAATTAATACTTTTCCAGCATAGGAACTTATATCTTCACGCATATTAGCACTGGCTTAGGAGTTTTAAAATCCAGAATGTCAGCATCTCAGAACAGTCTTTATCTAGTATTCAATAATTCGATTAAAAAAAATCTGGCAGTAGTAACACCCACCATAGAGGTCCTGTCTCTAGCTCCTATATGCAGGCCCAGCTTAATGATTTCTTCTGGCACCATGACAAAGTTTATTTCACAGTGAATAATCAATGTATAGTGGTCTAATTGAACTATCTGTTTCTATCCATAGATAACAAAACTCCAGGGACATTGTTCACTGTAGTTGGTCTTGCTTGGCAGTTATTTGCATCCTCTCTCAGTGAAGAATTCAGTCTATTTTCTAACGTGTAGGCAGGTAGTCTATTTTTGTGGGACAGTTCTCTATACAAAGTTCACATAGATCTGAAAATCACAGAGTCAGACTTTGTACAGTCCCATTTCTTGAACAGGAAAATTTTCTGTCCTAACATGTGACCAGAAATCAATCTGGAATATATCTCTTATTCTACTCACCTATTCTTTTATATTCTTTTTTTCCCCCAAAGATTTATTTATTTATTATGCATACAGAACTGGGATATGGGCCAGGGGTGCAGGGACGGTGAGAGGATTCACCACACAGAGCGGAGAGTAGCACAGGCAGATTGATGAAGTACACTGCTGAGGGGAGCAGCGGACAGGTCAGGAGAGGTCTGCCACGCCAAGTGGTCACCTCCAGGGCTGGCAGGAATCGAACTCATGCTGATGTGGCTTTAGCTTCTTAGTGCTGTGCTTTACCCCACTGCACCACCAGGGAGGGTCTATTTTATATTCTAACAAAATCCTTGAATATTCTGGAAATCACTTTATATAGCTGTGAAAAGGTAATAACATGGAAATGTTTAATTTAAAGAACAAATCTGAGGAATGATAAGAATAGAAGTATCTCCAAATATTACTGGAGAAAACAAGTTTTTCTCAGTGACTCACCGTAATTTTCTAATTATGTTGAGTTACAAATCGAGTTTGACTCTACTATTCAAATAAGGACTTCATTTGTTACTTCAAGCTTACTTGTTTTAACTCTTTTATTCAGCAAATATTAGTTACACACTTATTATGAAGTAAAAGTTTTGTAAACAATAGAATGCAATTGTAAACAAGTCTGAAACTAACCTGGTCCCTAATGACATAATAGAGGGGATAGATATTAAAAATGATGTATACTAACAGTTATCTTATTAATATTGCTATAAGACCTAAAATTAAAAGTAAATTATAATGTATAATGTATATAAGAGATGTATATCTAGTATGCAAGATTTAAAAAAAGGAATGGGTGAAGAAAGATTTTTAATTTCAGCCAAATGGGAACTGCAAGTTTAAGAATAAAGAAGCAGTAATAGGAGAAGAGGCAAGGAGAAATGTGATGCACCTGAGAAGCTGAAATTAGACAAGTCCACTGGTGTACTCTCTTCATTAATGAACAGTTGTTTTCATCTGCCCTGTCTAGTCACATTCTCCAACTTCCCATAACAAAAGTTAATTTTATTTAGATTCCTGGAATATTTTTCCAATTGTTTATGTACAAAATATATTTCATCTTAGTAAATGTTGAGTTTAGAATAAGCCAGACAAATATTAAATTAATTTATCCTAAACCTGATAGAGAAGAGGAAAGGACAGGTTAGAGATAATGGTGTAAAGGAAGGGGTTTCTCCACAGGGACTACAAATGAGATGGAGGGAAAAAAAAAAAACAAAAAAATAAAAAAAAAACTGATAAAAAAAAAAAAGAGTACTTCCAGGCAGACCAGTAAGTTTCTTGCATGTGGGTAAATGGATAAATAAATATTCAATTCAGTGTCAAAAAAAAAGGAAGGGGTTTCTGATGAAGCTGGAGAATAAACCATTATTGAGAATACATGGTTTGTGAGGTCTTTTCATAAGACATGTTATAAGAAAATGTTTAAGGGTATAAATTGCTGCCTTCAAAGAGCTCATAAGGAGTGTGAGTAGATAAATATCTAAGGAAGCAACAAGAAATCTTAATAGTCCCAGGAAGAAAGTAGCTCCTGCTTATGTCTCTCCTGAACTGCTTAGCAGGCATTATAATACAGAATGTTTGAAATCAAAATGCCACATTATCTTTTCCTTCTTACTCCCAAGTGGTCTACTACAGTCATCTTGAGTAAATGTATGCTTTCAAATAGGTGTGTGTGTATGTGTGTGTTTTATCCTAAAAGTGATTAAGACAGGCCCTCCCTGGTGGCGCAGCAGGTTAGGACATAGCACTGAAAGCTAGCGCAGCCGTGTCAGTGCTTGTTCGATTCCCAGCCCCAGAGCTGATCCACATGGCTGACTCGCCTGCTGCTCCCCTCAGCAGTGTACTTCATCAATCGGCCTGTTCTGCTCCCCACTCTGTCTCTGGTGAAGCCTCTCACCACCCCTGAACCTCTTGTACCCCAGTTCTGTATGAATAAATAAATCAATCTTTAAAAAAGAGAGAGAAAGAGAGAGATTAAGACAACCTTAAATTGCTTTCAATCTATTCTACCCAACACTCACTTACACATTGTTTTAATTTTGGTAAAATATCAGACAACACAAAAGAAAATCATTAACATGATCAAGGTACATGGAGAGTACGAATGAAATTAAAATAAATATAATGTAAATAACTACAAATAATTACAAGGTTCAAAGTTTTGTTTTGTTATTTTCACAGAGATCTTCCTTTCCTACAATGATACTAAGGACAACTTCTGGTATATGATCTTAAAGACAATGGAATTATTAAGTTTCAAGATGTAAACAATACATTCACTTTATGAATTTTAAAATACTACCTTGGTTTTTATAGAGAAGGACATGGCTGAAATTAGTGTATTTCCAGGTGACAGTTGGAGAAATTAAAAATGAGGAATTTGTAAGTCATTTAATGAATAAATATACAGGAAGAAACTGGTAATGAATTTAGAAACAGGGCCCACCCTGGTGGCACAACAGGTTAAAGCACAACATTATGAAGCTCTCAGCAGCCACTGAAGCACCCATCCCAGCCCTGGCCAGGAAGCTGACCCAGATGGCACAGCAGACCTCTCCTAACCTACCCGCTGCTCTTCTCAGTGTGTATTTCTGTCATTCTCCACTTTCTCTCTGGTGAATCCTCTTACCCCCTGTACTGACTTATACCACAGTTCTTGTATGCATAAATAAATAAATCTTTCAAAAAAAAAAAAAAGAATTTGGAATCAGACAGATCTGAGTTTGGACCCTAAATTTACTAATTAACTTTGCATAATATTTATAAATTTCTGTATCTTGTTTTATTTTGTGTAAATAAATTTTGTATATAAGTAAATGTTGCAAAAAATAAATGTATCTCATCAGTGAGATGAATTAACTACTATTATCCTCTCAAAATTTTAAAATTAAATATGTTGAGATTTATAGTATATGGATCAAGATTAGCGGAAATATTCTTGGTGCATGCCATTGAAGAAAACAGATACAAAAGATAATCAAATCTATGTAATCTGAGATGGGTATTAGAAAAGCAAAACAAAACACAGAAAAGTGATTAATGATATATAACAACAGGCTTCAAGTGTGAAATACTAAGTTTGGTTATAGTAGAGAGAAGTGAATTCTACTTTGAGGAAAGGTGGGGTATTTAATACAGAAACAGAAAAAACAGATGTAAGTTATAGATCTCAAAATTAGAACTAAGAAAGAAGTAAACCTTATTATTAGTGCCTTTCTGTACCATCATAGGTTTCTTTATGTAAGTGAAAAATAAACCAAGAAAATCCTATATTTCTTTCCCTAAATTTTGCCTATGGAGAAAATCTAAGATTTCAAGTTAATATTACTTACAGCTTTATTTTTATGTCTTTCTGTGCTATATAAAGCGCTTCCCAATCAATATTATCCCACCGTCTCCTCCCCACTCATTGAGTTTTTTCTTCAAAGTGAAAAGGAGAATAAATCTGTCCTGAATTTGCTAGGTTTTGACTCCATAAACCACCAGGTTTAGAGCAGGAGGAATGGCCACATAAATGTTGGCAAATAGGATGAGTACATTACAAGGGACGCTGTACCCAAAGCAATGAGCAAGAACAGAGATGAATGCAGGGGTGTAAAACATGAGGATGACAGATGTGGGAGCCACAGGTGCAGAGGGCCTGTTGGAGGGCGCCCTGCGATGAGAGTTGAAAAACCACACGGAGGATGAAAGTGTAGGAAACAGCAATAAAAATCACATCTGAGATGACAGTCATGAGAGGCACTGAAAATCCATACCAGCTGTTGATGGAGTGTCAGCAGAGGAAAAGTCCAGCAACCCCGATATGCTCACAGTACGTGTGTGGGATGATTATTTGAATCCCACAAAAGGGCAATCGTTTCAGCAGAAAAATATCAGATACAGTGACCGAGAAGCTCCCCACGATAATCCCCACCACCATCTTGATGATCCTCAGCAGAGTGAGGACGGTGGTGTATCTCAAAGGGAGGCAGATGGCCACATAGAGATCAAAAGCCATGGCCAACAGGATGGCTAAGTCCACCACAAAGCTGAAGTGGAGGAAGAACATCTGGGTGAGGCAAGCAGAGGTTATTTCCTGGCAGCCAAGCCAGAGGTTACTAAGTAGTTTGGGCACTGTAGCAGTGGAGAAGACGAGGTCTGTGGTGGCCAGCATGGACAGGAAGAAGAACATGGGCTCATGGTGGCTGTGTTCAACCACGATGAGGTAGAGGAGGATGCAGTTGCCCACGATGCCTTCCAGATAGATGACACAGAAGTGAACCCCAATCCAGATGTGGAACTTGTCCAGACCAGGTTTCCCAAGAACAAAGGAATCCAGGTTGTAACAACTCAAATTATATATGGTCTCCTCAGTCAGAGAGCTGCTTTTTGATCCCTAAAGATTAATCAGTTGTCAGAACTAACTTTGAGATATAACAATTCCATTCTGATGCTGAACAGGTTTTGGGATTGGAACTGTCACATTTAGGGATCTTATATAATGTTCTGGCCCCAACAGAATTCACTTACTATTGTCCCTTTTCCTTGCACTTGTCCCACGTAATTTTTGATAAATGTATTAATACACTATATGAAATAGTTATTTTGTAGATTAGTTGTTTCATATGATTAAGCCTTAATAACTGTTCCTTTCTCAATGTAGATTATTTAAATTCAAATGGAAAAAGAAAACATACTATGAAAGAGGAGGAAGTGTGTGTACATGAGAGAAAGGAAGTGGGGAGTGAGCCAGACAAAAAGGAAGAGGGATAGGTAGTACTATTAAATGGAATGAATTGTGAAGAAACTCACAATTGACTTCTGTAGACTAAATACTATGACCACAGGCAATGGGCTTGATAAAAACAAACTGAAGAGTTTCACTAAAATGATACAAACATGAAGGGAAAGCAAAAACAAAAATCAGATTTCAATGCTTTGATGGCAAGGGGGTTTTGGTTGCTCAGGGAATGAAATATGGTTGAGATTAGGAAGCAGCTGGTTGAATATAAATATAAGAGAATGAGCCTACCAGAAAATGCACAGTGACTAGTAGTATTGTTCCCTTGATACAGAGAACAGTGAACTCCGAAGATGATTCATAGCTTCAAGGGAAATGCCTTAAACCTTGGAAGGTCTCTCTTCCCTAAAATTACTAAAGAGAAACCACTTAGCCATCAGTTAGACTAGTCCTTAGGTCAGTAAACCTCTCTAACAGACACCTGCCAGTGTGATTTGGTCCTGGTAAAAACAAGCAGATTCTAACTTCCCACATAGAAAGTAAAGCATAAGGAAAAAGTCAGTACTTGAAACTCACCTTTGGGAATCTCTGACTTTGCATCAAATGAATCCTGCCTGTGGAGGTGCCTTTTGCATTGAATGTATCCTCTGAGTTTACCACCCTTGTATGTTCTATTTCATAAAGTACTTCTGGGAAGGGAATCAGTATTGGCAACACTGAGGAGAGGGGCTTCCAGGAGGTCTAGGATTTGTGCCATCTTTAGGTCAGTGTTGGGAGCTTTAGTCCTTACCCTTCCCAACAAATTTACAAAGTCATTCAAAAAGCTTTTTAGGCAAGAAAGTGGACTTTTGGACAGGTCACAACAGGTTGGCAGGAACTTTTAACTGTGACCACAAGGAAGAAAGGCATGCAGGAATGTGTGATGTCTTTGCCATAATCCCAGTTGCACAGTAAACTTCTTGCCTCTCACTTAGGGGATAGTCTTGACAATAGCAGAGTCCTTAATTAACTAAAATGAAGAAAATGCACCCTGGGAGGAATCTAACTAGTTTTCATTGTCCACAGGCATATCCCCTCACCCTCCACCTGAACCTTTAGTAATATACATACAAAATTATGCTCTCAGGTGTGATGAAGACTGATCTACTAAAACATGGATGCTTATTAGAAGAAAATTAGCAATGGTGTCTTTGTGAAATCCATGTAAGAATTGAGGCCTCCCTGGTGGCACAGTGGGTTGGAGCACTGCACTCGGAAGCTAAGCCAAGCCATGGCCACTTCTGTGGGAGGTCAATCCTTGCCCCGGAGATGACCCAGCAGACCTTTGTCACAGCAGACCTCTCCTGTCTCACTCGTAGCTCCTCTCAGCAGTGTATTTTGTCTGTCTGCCAGTTCTGCCCCCCACTCTGTCTTTGGTGAATCCTCTTGCAGCCACTGCACCTTACCTGTACCCCATACATACTTATTTATGTCTATATAAATAAATAAGTAAATCTTAAAATAAAAAAAATTGAATTTTACCATTTCTGACAACATGGCTACACATAGAGGGAAATTTTTCAAAGTGAAATAGATCAGGCAAACAAAGACAAATACTATATGGTGTCACTTTTTAAAAAAAGGAAATCTCATAAATACAGAGCACATGTTGATGGCTATCAGAGGTAGAGGATGGATATAGATGGCATGAGTGAAAGGCATCAAAAAGCATAAGTGAATAGTAAAATAACATTTTTATTTTCTTTTTTTTTAATGTGCCTACTTAAAATGGAAACTTTATTGAGAATAAATGTTGCTCATTTACTTTCAAGGGAATTATCAAACAAGTGTAATTCGATGGTCATTTAAGAAATAAGATCATGTTAAAATAACATTTTAAAAAATGTTCTTCAGTGTGAACCTACTGAGAAAAAATTTTCCACAACAAATGGCAAATCATTAATTATGTTTCTATTCCATATTCAGGCAGACAGAAGAGGAAGATTTTCATTAAAATGCTGTAGCACTGTGCCACTGCCAAGTTACATGACAGTGACAGAATATGGAGGTTAATAAATAGTGCTTCTATGAAGCTGTTAGCAGCCACTGTGCACGTTTAACCCCTGGCCATGAGCTGGCCTACCTCCACTGCTCCCCTCAGCAGTGTATTTCAGTCAATCCACCTGTTTTGCTCCCCGTCTCTGGTGAATCCTCTCACCCCTGCACCTCTGGCCTACCCCCCAGAAGGGTGCATAAATAAATCCTTAAAAACATAAAATAAATTATGTTTTTTCAGAACCTTCTTTCTTAACACTTACAAACCCTTAATTTTTCTATTTTTTCTATTTTGCCCTCTTCCTTTGGGCAAAATTTGATCCTTTTTATATTATCATTCAAAAGCAATCTTGAAATATCTGACAACTCCTACACATTCTTTCCTGCCATTCTTTTTGTCTGTTTTGTTCATGTTCTGACTACATGTTCCACTAGAAGATGGTGGAAGCTTCCATTACAGGGTCTGTGTTGCCAGGAATTCAGAGCTTGGCAATCTTCATACATCCATTGATGCTGAGACTTGCTAAGAGGCTGACAAGTCAATTTCTAGTTGAATTGCAGATATTTCAGTATTGTTGGTAACCCACAGGAGTTAGCTCTCTTGGCTTAGAAACTTTTTGACTCACTAATAGCTGAGGCAGGAATTGAAAATCACTTAAGCATAACCACTGAGTATATTCATAGTTTTAGTTTCTTAATATGAAGTTTGTTTTGAAAACAAATTTGAGATAGCTTTTAAGTATAATGGTATCATCTAAATTTTGCATGAACTGCATTCTAGGAGCTAACATTTTACTCCTCTTCTTTTGTGTCACATAATATTCTCATGGAGTAACCCTTTTCAAGCAGTCAATCTTCACCAAGCAATGGTATGTTTTATGAAGGAATCTTTTCTATGTTGCTTTTTCTTATTTCAGATCAGATAAAATGTTTTACATAAGGAGTGACCTAGGAATAGAAATTGTGCATCCACATAGCTCTAAGTATTATTTTAATTACACTAAATGACAACCATGGTTCTATTCTATTGTTGTAGCAGGTAATGTAATCACTGTAGTACACAATGCAATTCTGGTATTATTACCATTTATAGAAACGCCTAAGAAAAATTTTATCTTCATTCTGATGGTTTACTCAGAACTTACTCAATGCCTGTGGCTGTGATGATTAATTTATGTCTATTGGCTAGACAATAATATCTAGACATTTGACCACTGTTCTGAATATTTCTGTAAAGGCATTTTCTAGGAAAGAGGAATATTTATGCCAGTAGACTAAATGATGATTACTTCCCTCATTGGCCATGAGCTTAATTCAATGACCTGAAGGCCTTAAAAAGACAGAGAGCCCTCAAAAAATAGAATAATCTGCCTGTACGTATCCTAGACTTTCCAAAGTTCTAGCTATGCTTTTTTTCTCTCATGAAAGATTAACTTAGTAACATATAATATTGTAAAGGTCAAAAAGTGAAAATTATGTTTATAGCTTGTTTTGCAGAGCCTACATAGAGATTTTAGGGGAGGTTTGCAGGATGGTTTGAGTACTTATAAAGAACTGTATGACAGAAAAAGATGTGAGGCTCAGTCCTATTTCAAACCTTCCACGTGAGCCATAGAAAGTGACAAAGCTACTTTAACTAACCTCAAGACAGGAAGACACAAAAGATGGTATAGATGGGTCCTCCTTGGTGGTACAAGGGGTTAAAGTACAACACTATGAAGTTCTCAGCAGCCACTGCAGCACGGGTGCGATCTCTGGCCGGGGAGGTGACCCACATAGTGTGGCAGACCTCTGCTCCCCCCACAACCCCCCTTCCCAATGTATTTCAGCCATTCTGCCTGTTCTGCTCCCCACTCTGTCTCTGGTGAATCCTCTCAACCCCTGCACCTCTGCCTGTACCCCAGTTCTTGCATGCAATAAACATAAAAAAAAATAAAAAAGATGGTCCAGATATTAGTGAACCCCCTACCCTGAGGGATTCAAACACTATGTCAATAGTTGACCTGGTCTTCTCTTACACCTATTCTCTTGTACAAGCCACCACACCAGCCTCCAGTGACCCAGTCTAACCCATCATCACCACCTCTCAACCTTCCAGTGTGCTTGCTGCCTGATTCTAAGTGAAATTACATTGTTCACACACTATGTACAGGTCACAAATTTATCACATTATTCCTGCTAGTTGCTGTTATTTTAGGTTTTATATGTGTTTTCTATGATGCTGTAAGTTATGGTTGGGTCTGCTAATAGTAATGACATATTCTATATAAATTGTATTATTACTATTTCCCTTAGTCCATTTGACTTACTAAAGTTTTCATAGGAATTCTCTACTTTCAGATATCAGGAATAAATGTATAGTTTTAGTGACAAAGCAACACTAAAGAGAAAAGCAATTATCCCATTTCCCACCACAGGAAGACAAATATGAGTTCGGCTAATACTAAGTATATAGCATAGTAGTGAGGAGTATAGGGGTGCTTCTGAGATTAAAAGCTGACCTGTCTGTACTTCATGAAAGATTGGAAGTCAAGATGAAGAATTGCATGGAACTAGCCTCAAGCTAAATAGAATGCTACTGAAATTCCTCATTAGTGAGTGAATGTCTTTATTTCAATGAAGATCTCAAATTCCATATGAAAACCTACTTGCTTTTATAACTATTTGGTTTAGGGAATGGTAATTTTTGGCAATGATGCCTCCACATTGTCTGTGGGCAATCTTGCAGATTTTTTTATGTCCTAATATTAGCCCGAGTATATCCAAGTTTTCCACTGTAAATACTTTATTTGCCTCATTAAGGTCCCAGCTCAGTCCTGGCCCCAGAAATAGTAGATGGTGTGACTCTTAATGGGGTTTCTGATGTGATGGGGAGAGGATAGTCCTATAATTGATTTGTAGACATCAAATCCACAATTGGCACACATTAGGCTTTCTAACCCCAACCACTCAAAGGGGTTTCTGACTTTTCCTATGAAGCGTAATTGGAAACAAATTAAAAGTCTCATATTCTTATCAAAGGGCCAATTCTGAGGCTAGAAACTTCTGTTAAAAAAAGAGAAGCAGGGGCTCTCCCTGGTGGTGCAATGGTAAAGTACCACATTATGAAGATCTCCAGAGCCACCGCAGCACAAGTTCAATCCCCCGCAAGGGAGCTGACCCACATGGTGTGGCAGAGACCTCTCCTGACTGGCCTGCCGCTCCCCTCAGCAGTGTGCCTTGTTGATCTGCCCGTTCTGCTCCCTGCTCTGTCTCTGGTGAATCTTCTTACCCACTCCTCTGGCCTGTACTCCGGTTCTATATGGATAAATAAATCTTTAAAAAAAATGTAGAAGCAGGGGATTCCACGGTGGCACAAAGGGTTAAGTCGTAGCACTATGAAGCTATCCACAGCAGACCAGGGAGATGACCCACATGGCACAGCAGACCTCTCCTGTCTCACCCACTGCTCTTCTCAGTAGTCTATCTGCTCCCTGCTGTGTCTCTGATGAGTCCTCTCACTGCCCTCCCAACTCTGACCTGCACCCTATGCATAAATAAATCTTTTTAAAAGCAGAAGCCTTTCACTGTGCAGCTCTTTTCCATTGTATGTGAAACTCAAATCTTGATTTCCTTATAACTAAGAACTTCATTCTGAATTAGAGGAGTAGGCATTCCAGAAAATTGTCATTTGTTAATAATTCCAGAAGATAGCCGATTTTTTTTTCCTAGTGAAGCACAGGCTTTGTAATCATAGCAATGGGGTGAGAGAAAGGCAAAAGGAAATTTTTGCCAGTGGCCACAAACACATACTAAAATACAGATGTGTACATATACTATCCACCTTAGAACCTGTGTCATCAGAGGTTATCCAAAAGTGGTGAGGTGGGAATTCCTGGGGACAAGCAGGATGGTAGCAGTTACTGTCTGACCAGCAATGCACTTTTATCTGAACTCAGTTGGGGAAGAACTGGGAATAAAATACCCAGACTCCAGGATTCCACCAAACTCTGAATGATCAACTATCGCAGAAACAGTTCCCCCTCCTAGCACAGGAAGAACAGACAACGGCCTAAAACTCTGGAGTACTCTACGTGACTGCAGAAATTAGGCCGACTTGGGCAAACAAAATACATATAGGCAGTATTAATAAATATTTATAGACAGTGTTAATAAATTCCAAAATTGTACTATTGACTCTTGATTTATTACTATTATTGAATAACCAGCTTGGTAAACAAAGCTCAAACTGAAACTTAATTTCAATGAAATAGAATTATTGCAGGTAAATGAAAAACTTAAGGCCAGCTGACTATATAGAAACTTTTATTGCATAATTAGCTGAAATTTAAACACCATGTAATATTCAATCAAGTCCTATTTCTTAAACCAAAGAGTAATCCCGTTGAAAATAAACTAACATAGTCTTATTGTGAAAGAATTTTAATAGGATACTGTGCATAAAACACCTAAAGTTACTCCCTTGGGGGTAAATGTCCAGTCAAACAGGATTGGCCCAAGGTGGACAGACCACGGAAGCCCAAAAGCTTGCCACCAGGCTAGGCCACCTTCTGGCAGGGAACCACAGAAAAGGGCCATGAGGGAACAAGCAAGTCTGGAAAAACAGCAAAGTTCAAGTACAAATCAAGGTAGCTCTCACTACCTCTCTCCCAAGTATCTCTACATGTCTGAGAGTCCATGTGCCCTTCCAAGTCCATTGTGTATGTCCCAAACTGAAAAGCCAACAGACTTTCACACGTCTGTTCCACATGCTTCCAAATCTCTCCTCCAAGGCTCTTCTCCCAGTTTTCTTCAGTTTCTCCTTCCCACTCAGCTCTGCCCTTCATTTGGTGAAGCAGGGAACACAGAATCCCCCTTTTTATGCAGATTACACTCCATAACAATTTTATTTCTCACAATACAGGGCAGTTGTGGGTTTCCTGACCAAGATTATAAGAAAATTAACACAGCTTTTAAGTATGTTATTCCAGGTAAAACTGCTATGCTATGGCATGACAAGACTTCTAAGCACAACTTCTCCTTTTAGGTCATATCATTTATAGTATTTTCTGCTTAATTCTTTCATTTTCTCAGTCAATGCAGAGAAAATGAGATCGCAAATTTTTGACAGAAGTGTTAGGGGTGTTCCTTGGGAGAACAGGAATTGGTAAATTAAACATCTCTCCTAATGTACATAATATTTAGGAAAAATATGACACAAGGCAAAATGAACACCTTGCTAATGAATAAAGGATGTTAAAATGCAAAAGGAAGCAGCAAAGAAAAGGTGGCAGAATGCTGTAAATAAGCTCAGTGCCCTAGGTCCCCCAAGGTAAAAGACACTGCAAGGAAGGAGGGGTGAAGAAGGTTTAAGAGTTTGGCTTGCAAATGGTCATGGGAACTTTGCAATTCATAAGATTAAAATATGGAAGAATTCTCTTAGGAAAAGCACACTTGGAGTATTCATAGATGAGTGACCCATGGTTTGTGATGTTGTAAAATGAGACAGTACCTGCTTCGTAGTCTAGGAAAACCCCAACACGAGTAGGAGGGACAGTCATGGAAAGAGTCAAGATCTTGGGATCATGACAGCAAGTGTCATCAAAAGCAGTATATACTGATTGACTGTGTAACCTTATAACCCACATGTGAAATCCAGGTTGAAATCTAGAGTAAAAACTGAAAATAGGATTGGACATCTTATTTTTTTTGCCAAAAATTGGTAGATCTGGTACAAGAACATTATTATTTTTTAGACAATGGCTTTCTCCGCACACACCCAGAATCCAGGCAATTTTTTTGGATACATCTACCTCCCAGTAATGTTTCCCATTCATGAAAACTGGTGATCCCATGACAGAATAATCTTCATAACTGGCATCTGGATGTTCTTTCATTGGATAATTGTTGCACAGAACTCTCATTTTTCTGCCATTTGCAGAAATCTCAACATTGGAGTTACTGATGATCTGGTTCAAGGTGACATCAACTACAGAAAAATTAAAGGTTTGGATGAGGGATGTTGTAGTCTTTATAGAAGACATTGTGAGACGAATCATGAGAATAGCTTAACAGAATATAAAGAACTTTGGCCTTAGGGAGAAACAAATATACTGCAGAATCAGTAGTCTGCATGTAGTATTAGAATGAAAAACATGAGTTTTAAAGTATGAGCTTTACTAGTAGTCAAAAAATTCTAAAAGATAAGGTGAACAGAGTAGAGTGGTTTGATGACAAGAAGATTTATCCTTACCCCAGTAGAATCGCTTATCTGTTAGTTCTGAAATGATTTAAAAAAAAAAAAATTCTGTTATATGCTGCTAAGTATCAGAGGATCCAGCACTGAAATCTACTTCCTCTCTAGATTAAGGGAAGTTATTGGAACTATGGAAGGTAGTAAACTAGTAAATAAAAGTAGCACTGATACCTGGCCAATCCCCACTAAACAGGATCATTTCATTAGCCATGGTGTCCATTGCCCTGTCCACACTTAAAAGTTGAATTTCTTCCTCATTTGGCCCCTGCCATTGCAACAACCCCAGTCACCCAACTGGCTGACCATTCCTCACCATTAAGCCTTTGCAGCATCCCTTTTAGATCTGGAGGTAGAAACACACGTCTTTCTCGTTGGGGTAAAACTTTTGGCTCCTTCAGGGTCAATGTGCAAGATCTAGAATGAGAAAAATAGATTCCCATGCCTCTAACATATTGTCCTTTCAAAACTACTGACTTCTTATTTCTTTACTCCAGGGAATGCACTTGAACTCTTATCTGGAAACTATGAGAAAAAAAAAATTAGATACCTGACCTCAGAGTCAGAAAAAAAGGGCTGACTACCTCTATGCGACTTTGGATGGTAAAGAGCACAGTTTCTTGCTTCCAGATTTTAACAAAAGTTTATTAGCCATATGGAAGTTGGTCCATGTGGCTCAGAGGATCTCTCCTGTCTTGCCTGCTGCTCTTCTCAGAAGTGTTTAACAACTGTAACCTCTTGAAAAAAAAGACATTATGAATGAACTCCAGACAAACAATGGTCTGAATTTCATGTGTTCAGAAAGAAGGAGGCTGATGCTGCCAGGTAGTTATGAATTAAAGTAAGATACTAACTCTTGATACTGAAAGCTAGAGTATGTGACAAGACTTGTTTATACCAGGGCCAGAATATCCCATATAATTAAAATCTGGTTTTGGAATCTAAACAGAACCATATAGAATGAGTTGATCTAGTCTATGAAATTTACATAGAAAAGTATTGTTGCTAATTCTGAGTGCCTGGTTAAAAAAAGAGATCCAGGCTTTCCACTATAACGGTGAAGCACTTACCATATACAAGAATTCTAGATACAAGCACACAGATGAATAAAATTTATAAAGTCAGAGGTATGATACTCAGAAGTTTAATCTTTTTTTATTAATTTTTTTCCTTATATCCTTGTAGCTCCCACAGTTTTCCTACCACTGTATCACCCTTGAAACTTTATTATATATCCCCTTGAACTCTTCCCTCTTCTGTTTTGACCCCCTTCCCACCTCTTCCTTTGCTGTATGCCTTGGATCTATGGTCAGCTTGCTAGTTTTGACTTTTCTCGACCTTTCGTTTGGTTTCTCTACATTCCACATATAAATGAAACCATCACTAGTTAGCTTTTTCCTTCTGATTAATTTTGGCCAGCATAATCCTTTTCCAGCTCCATCTACTTTGCTGCAAATAGTTTGGCTTTTTGATTGCTAAGTAATATTCCATTGTGTAAATACACTAAAACTTTTTGATACATTCATCTATTTGGGGTATTTGGGTTGTTTCCATATTGAATATTGTAAATAGTACTGCAATAAACATAGGAGTGTAGTTTTCCTTTCAAATTAGTGGTTTTGTGTTCTTTGAGTAGATTCCTGAGATTGTAGGATCACTGGGTCATATGGAGGATACATTTTTAGTGTTCTAAGGAATGTCCTCCCAGCTTCCAGTGGCTGGACCAGTTTACATTTCCACCAGCAGTGTAACAGGGATCCTTTATCTCCACAACTGCATCATTTGTTGTTTCCATTATTTTTTATTTTATTTTATTTTTTAATGTGGACTATTCATACTGGAGTGAGGTGGTATCTCGTTGTGGTTTTGACTTGGATTTCACTAGTAACTAGTGATGTTGAATATTTTTTCATATGACTGTTGGCCATTTGTCAAATGTTTTATCCTTAAAAATACTACTGACCCAAACTGGCAGTTTCCTATCCTTGCAATTCCTTTCCATAGAATCTGGTCTATTCTCAATCCATGTTTTATAAACAGAAATTTAAGAAAAAAGTATACCAATAGTTCTTCACTTACAATGATACTGCATTGTTAGTAAACACCAAATTACCTTAAAAAGCATTAAACATCTTTTCACAACACAAAAGCCCACTGCTGGCCTACCACACATACCTTTGTAGGATGTCATTCACATCCTAGGAGAAAAATAAAAATACAATTAATTAAAAACCATGAGTCAAGAAGTAATAGGTCCTACACACTTAGAAGACCTCATCAAATTCCCTCAGCCCCCTGGTTAGGTGGTTTATAGTCAGTCCCATTGTGAGAGCCAAATGCAAAGACAAGACCTTGACTGGATGTTCCAGAGCTCACATGAGCTGTCAGGTTTCCCAAAAGATAAAATCAGTTTTGACTCTTGTGTTAATCAAGTATGTATCTGGAGATGAGACACATTTATAAGGAAATTTAGAAACCCATAATTTTATCCCCTAAATGCAGACTCCCTCTGAAATGATTGAATAATTCAAGGGTTTTCCATGTATTCAGCAGAAATGTAATATTTAGACTATTATTTGTCAAACATTTAGCTAGGCTTAGGAGAATTTAAAAAATTACAATATTCTTCAAGAAGTTTGCATGACTTTTTATGAGTGCACACAGAAACAGTTAATGTAGGCCTGTTTCTCTGTTCTCATGTTAAACTCTCGACAAGTAACTTCATCCCTTCCCTTGAATTCTATTCTATTTTCACTCAGTTTTATCTCTAAACTGCAGAGTAATATATTCATTGGAAAAGAAGTAACAAGAACCAATAACTTAGAATATCTCCATAACTTCACCAAGTTGTTAAATCAACACAATTAAAAAAAAAAGAAAGAAACCACACATACAACTAATACAACTATTTCAAGGGTTACCAGGGAAAAAAACTGCAAAAAAATTGAATATAAGTTGGATTGAATGAAAATAAAAGCTGAACAACAATAATGTATGGAATACAGTTAAAGCAATACATTTAAATTATCAAACACTAAACTAGAAAAGATGTTTATCAATCAGGTTTCTAAATTTCCATTTTATAAAAACTAGAAAAGGAACTGTAGACCAACCACACAGCATACATATAATTTGTAGAGAACAGAAACAATGATTAAACATAAAAGAAATCGGCCCTCCCTGGTAGCGCAGAGGGTTAAAGCACAGCACTACAAGCTGGCCGCAGCTGCTTGCCTCCCACCCAGGAGGTGACCCACATGGCACAGCAGACCTCGCCTGTCTCCTGTCTCGCCCGCCTGCTCCCCTCAGCAGTGTACTTCCCACTCTGCCTCTGGTGAATCCGAATCCTCTCACTGCCCCTGTACCTCTGGCCTGTACCCCAGTTTTGTATGCACAAATAAATAAATCTTTAAAAAATAATAAAAATAAAAGAAATCAATGAACTGTACAAGTTAGTTCTATAAAAATATCAATAAAATCCAGTAAACACAAACTAAAAAAAGGGAAAAAGCAAATCACCAAAGAAAAATAAATAAAATAGGATGGAAGAGGTCCCTCCCTGGTGGCACAGTGGGTTAAAGCGCAGCACTAGGAAGCTAAAGCCACTTCCGCATGAGTTCAATCCCCGCCTACCCCGGAGGTGACCCACATGGCGCGGCAGACCTCCTGACCCATCCCACTCCTCCCCTTAGCAGTGTACTACGGTCAGTCGGCCTGTTCTGCTCCTCACACTGCCCCTGCACCTCTGGCCTGTAATCCAGTTCTGTATGAATAAGTAAAAAAAATCTTTAACAAAAAAAAGGGATGGAAGAAAGCCCAGCACTCTAGAGACTTTTTAATCAATGGAACCGCAGAGAATTTCACTCTGCAATTTCTCTTTCTCATATTATCCTTTAAACATTCTTATTTATCTTTTCAAACTAAAGGAGCTTTCTCTTCCAACCACCAAAGTACCCACAGTCCTGATCACCATGAGCGGACTCCCCCAACCCCTCTACCTGGACCATCACCACTACACACACACACACACACACACACACACAAACACAGCAGACTCCCCCAACCCCTCTACCTGGACCATCACCACTACACACACACACACACACACACAGCGGACTCCCCCAACCCCTCTATCTGGACCATCACCACTACACACACACACACA